GTTGATTAAATTTTCCCCTTCGGTGATGTGTCAATTTGCACATCTTGACGCTGCCTCGCAGAAGGACTTGAAATGAGCTAAATGAATGGGCCACATGGCAGCAAATGCACCTCCATGGGTTTTTCTTCAGTTTGAGCTGTGATTTGCAAATTTTCTCATCTTCTTTCTCAGTCACCTCCTTTCCAAATCACAAATGTACAGGGAGGTCACGCACTGTGAGCTGTTTGTGATGAGACATGATCATTCAATCCTCTGTTTTACCTTCTGTTTCCCAGCTAATTTTTAATTCATGTCATTTCTTTATCCTTCACTTGCTACAGCTTAATTTTTTCTAGTAACCTTGTGTGAGACATTTTAAAAGTCCTGTGAAACCTCTTGCTAACACATTTTCTGTGAGCATGCAAGACGCAGACACAGGAACGATGTCTAAGACGGAGGCAACTGCAGGTTTCATGCTGACACAAAGCACCTTTGCAACTCAGAGACAAGGTAAATCTTGCATGCACATATTCTGGTCCTTAGGGGGTTTCCAGCATCCATCTTAAAGGTATATATGGGCAGCTTAGGCTCACCTGTTCTTTTGCTGACCTTCTTCAGTTTTTTTCTCCCCTTTTCTCACTTTCCCATTTTTTTAGGGGACAGCAATCATAATCCATGCTTCTCACCTGCATCTGCAAGTTGAATCCAACTATCTGCAAGCATAGAGGAGCAGACCAGGAGAGAATTCACAGGTACTACAGAGAGTAGTAAACCCACTCTTCTCCCTGCTGGAAACACCCATCTGGAGCCACGTTACGGCTACGCTGCCTGTTTCCAGAGCTCTTTCACCAGTGCATCGTGTGCTTACTTAGCACACCTCGATCCTTCCGTCTCCATCATTATGATGAGCAAGCTCCTGGCTCGTAGACGTGTGAAGTCTCACTCCGAGGTTGACAACTACAACTTATACTACTAAATTCTGTCTCATTTCTACCACTCCCTTCCTCAAGTACTTTCCACACAGTGCCCAAAGCACCCCTCATATGCATAGTATATTCAAACAGCAAATTTAATAATGAAGTAGATGGAAAAGAGCATTTTGGGGGCTTTCTTAAAGTCCCCATCCACTACCTGTTACGTCAATCATCCCTCTTGTGCAGGAACTGCATATGTGCAACCAACACAACCCTCTCACACGTGAACATGCACTTAAAATCTGGCAGCCCATCGCTTTGTAACTCAGGAGATTGTTCTAGCATGTCTCCTGATGTCTTTAAAGATAATACCTTGACTTCATTATTAAGGAAAAAGCAAGTCTGAGGTAGGTGTATCCCTGACAGTGAAAACTGATTATCAAGAAATTAGCCTTCTCCAGAATGCACTTATCTTCCCTCTTTCACCTATTGATCCCTACCGATAGGGCAGAGGCGATGAAACTGGCTGCTCTTCAGAAAAGAACGTCTTCCAAAAAACTTTAGCCATTTGCTTTTTGAATGCTATTTTAGCACTTCTCTTGCCACACATTTGGATTCCTTTACTGATTTTGATGGGACAAATTTCCAAATTCTTAAGAGGTCAGTTTGGTTTAAGAAACACCTTGCATCTTGATGCTTGGCCACATTCGTTTACTTCTGAGTTGAGGGCTTAGTTTAGAGATTTTTATTATTATTATAACAGCACATTTGCCATTCTCAATGTGTCTCCTGACATTGCATTAAAAAAAAAAAACTTCCTCTACCGCACTGCCCGCAAAACCTTACCTACTACATGTGTGTGCCAAGACCAAGCATTCGGTAACATCTCCTTGGGTTTCCCCTTAAGCATTATGGTGAAGACCTGTAAAAACAACTGTTTGTACAAAGACCCTTCGAAAAGCAGGCTCTGACCGTTACTACGAAACAAAGGAGGTTCCTGAACTCTTTAAGCTGGTAGCAACCGTTTGAATGTCATTGCTTCGTAGGGGGAGAGCAGCCCCAGCCAACCTGCTCTCTGCTGAAGGACATCCCTACAGCAGAAAAGGGAGAACACAACTACATCGAGGCAATTCAAACAAAAGCCTTAATTTAGTAAAATTGTCTGAACTCTAATACTGTCTTTTGAACAGACTGTGCAGATGGCCCACTGTCAAAATCTGTACCTCACCGTGCTAGCTGAAGCGTAATAGCCGGAAAGTACAATTTGAGATAACGAACGCGACGATATCCCATGATACAGGTCATAGCCCCACTTGTGTCTTGAGGCTCTAAAAATCTGCTCTGTGAAATCAGTTACGGCTGCAGGAGCTGGGCAGCGTGTTCCACCTGGGCGAACGCCTGCCTCATCCTACCAGTGCACACAGCAGCTTGTTCTTCTGTGGTTCCACGTTCCAGCCTGCACCTCAGGGATGCTTAAAACTAATTTATCATCCAACTAGGCACAGCACGGGCTTCGCTGCAGAAAGGGCTGACATCTCTACTTTGGCACAGGGACCACTTTAAAGTTGCTGCCACAGCTTAAAAGGAGAAATTGAGTGGGGATAGATGCTTGTATTTTCAGACTTGGAGCTAGAGCACCCGAGGTGCACATTCAGCCCTGTCCTCACACCGCTGCCTGGAACATTACAGGCTCCTCTGTATCACTGCTGGAACCTTGCAAGATGAGAATGGGACTAAAATTCTTCCATCTACTCTTTTGCCACACAAAATCAAGCTGGCAGAGAAATGGAGAGAAAGGCAGAGATCGGTTAAAAGGGCTGTCAGATCACATCACAAGCGATGACCAACACAGGGAAGAGCACGGAAGGTCCTAAAGCAAGTTCTCCAATTCAGACAAGTTTCATGCCTTTTTTTGAAAGCGCTATGTGGGCAAATCTCCTTTTCTTAGAGTTACTGCAAAATTACCTGAAGACAGCTTTGTAACTTACATTCCCTGTCAGAGAGAATACCTGCAAACTAAACACTATTTTATGTTAAAATGACAGGAGACCAAAAATATTCATCCACAAGAACTTCACACTTGTAGTAACTCCTGCCAGGTGAGAGAGGAATTGCTTGAAGGGTCTTAGTGCTTCCCAGAGGAACAGGCACGTTTTCTGCCAGTACCATCACGTACTTCTGCACTCGTAAGCACTGCAAATTGAACTAAACCAAAGGTGTGTCAGAGGCAATTTCAGCGCCTTTTTTGTCTAATTCCAACAAATGATGGTACAGGTCAGCACTGGCTTTGACCTTCAACAGGACAGTAGCACTTCATGGGATACTCATAGTAGCCCATCAAACCTATTTTATTTTGCATTTTCTAGGGTAATGTGAAATATTTTTCTGCAAACTAAGTGCATATATACACCTTGACTGTTTTACAGGAAGAGTGTTTAAGTAAGCACAGTGTAATTAAATGCCACACAGTGAATCTATTTTGTGTACTGCAGTCTCAGACAAGGCTGTTTCTAGCTATCAAACATTTTTATGTCTTTTAGAGACGGAGATTAAAATAGGCTTTAACATAATTGGAAGCAATGATCTAATACTTTCAGCTTAAAGGCAGCATTATTGTAGCTATAAAACAGGTGAGAACGCACTTAAATGCTGAATAGAAGAGGTTTGTTAAATCTTACTCAAGTTAAAGTACTAGTGTGTTCAGAAGACACGCTATTTTTTTTATAAGCATATATAAAATCACCAATGACATTAAAAATAATTGTCACTGAGTCCCTTAAAAATGTTCAACAAGTGAAAAACTTAGGAAGATAAAGTTTTGCCTGGATCACATAGTTTAATAAGAATCAAACAAATGGTAGAAATTTCTTACATCATTTATATTTGATACAAGTACATATACACTAGTGTGTGGGCACTTACAAAAATATAAATAAAACCCCCTCACATTTTCTTTAACAACAATTCTTTAAACGTAGCATGAGAACATTTTATTGAATGCTTTTGTACCAGGCATTATAGGAAAGCTTTATAGTAAGAAAGCTTTGTATTTGAACAGAATTGCTATTCATATTTAGGCCTTTGCTTGAAGCAAAAATTACTGTCAGTAATCACAAGGGACGTATGACAGGCCTGCTGTTAAACTGCACAGTCAACATCCCACCTCAGCATGCTGGTTCCAGCAGGAAAAAAAAAAAAAAAAGGTTAAGAAACTAATATAAACCAACTGTCAAAAAATTTAGTGGTTCATAACTCATTTTCAACCTGAATGAGAACAATGAAAACAATTGTTTTGCAGTAACCCAGTACCAAGTTTAAACTATGGCTTGCTTTCCCACTCTCTAGGAGCAGAATTCAAAACAACAGTTCAGGTTTAAACCCAGGAAAAGCAGAGAGGTGTACACAGAGACTTAGTCTGAAGTCTTAGAAGTTTGTTTCACATGGAGGCCTCCACAGACTACCTAAACACACCTGACTGGTATAATCTAAAGATCCCACACAAGATATTAACTTCTCAAACTGAAAAAAATTCTTACAACATTGAGTCCAGGCTTGACAAGTCTCTAACTAGGCCCCTGAAATCTGTAATATCCAACAAAATATTATTGTTCATTGCCTCTATTGCTAACATCCGAAAACTCCTGAAACTCAAGTGTTTAAATACTCTCAGGCTGCTGCATAGGATTGATCTGCCCTGAAACTTAACAGAATGCAAAAAACATATGCACTAGTCCTCCTCTGTAAGCAGCAGGCATTTCCAATATGCTGTTAATCTCGTAACTATAGGCATCTAAAAACTGGTCATAAATCACTTCCTGGAAGTTTTTTTGCTTCTTTTCATCAACAAGAAGGAGGGCCTTAAGTGACTAGACCAGATTTTTGTGTACAGAAATTATCAGAGGAAACCTATGCTAAAGATGGAAAAGAGCTAGAGTTTTGTCCAAATCCAGAGCCATACCAGAGGCTGCTGTGATAAGAAAAGGGATTTGGAAAATGGAGACAGACAGACTCCCAGGAAGCAAGCTATTTAAGAAATTGCAGGCATGTATTGAGGGACCAGGCTGGCGGTAGAAAAATCCACTTATAATGAGGAAAAAGATACGCAGACAGTTTTCTTCAGTTTAATATCAGGTGGTGTTATAAACTGCTAAAACCAGACATCTTCACATTATTACACTTGATGCATCGTAAAACAGGTTTATGTTACAGAGTAAGATTCAATATTATAAAACTTGCAGAAAACTTCACACAGAAGTCTTTAGTTTTTACCCCTTTTATTCACATCCAAACCCAATAACTCTTATCTGTGTACAAACGGAGTAATTTCTTCCATCTTCTACGACTGCTTTCCAACCAACCAGTTCTAAACATCAATAGCAACATCAGTAGTGGGAAATCAACCAGAAAGTGCCACTGCGGTCATTCGCTCAAGACACACACACTTCTTGCTGGATAGCCGGTTGTGGAATTTTACTATCCTCTGTCTTTTCCTGCCCAGGAACTTGGCACACAGTCTTTCGTTTGAATAACCGTAAACTCAACCGTAACAAGTCGCTGTCCATTGCTGCAGAATTTGTGTAAGTTTGTTTTGTTGCACCCTGTTGAAATTCAAAATTAAAAATAAAAAAAGAACTTAAACCAGTGGCTTTTAACATGTAAGCTGAGAAGTTAACTTCAAGTACTCTCAGTAATTAGACGTTTAATCATACATATTCACTAGAAAAGACTTCAAGAATTAACGACTTTTCTATTAGCGTGCAAGATCATAAAAGCTACTATAGTGCAAAAAATGGCTAAAATATTTTTTTCTTTCAATTCTTTCAATTCTTTCTTTCAATTCTCTTTCAACCTGGAAGAACAGAATCATATAATTCTTATAAAAGTACATGGAATCTCAAAAGCAGGAGAACTATTCAACAATTGTCTTTGAAATTGTATTTTAACCGATTATTTTTATTATGTATTCTCTAAATATAGAAAATGTATCTCCAGAATTTAAAAACCTCAAAATGAGAAACAGCACCTACTTCTAGTCTCAATCTTAAATTAATCTCTCATCCTAAGTAAAAAATAAACACCCTAAAAATCTCTCTAAATTAAAGTCTCTTCTCCATTATTTAAAGGACTAAATCTACTCCAGAACAAACACAAAAATGATCTCCCTAGAGAAATGCTTTGCCTAGTGGAATCTGTGTTTCCACATTTTGACCAAGCACTGTAAATGAACCACTTGCCTTTTCATTCTTCATTAGCTGCTTACGAATTGCAGAATCCCTTCGAAAGCATAGCGCTTTACAGCACGGACCCAGATTACTGAGAAGACCTGCTCTCTCTTCTTTTCGTAGAAGTGCAGCCATGTTCAAGGCCCCCAGTTCATGTTCAAAAAGGTTTTCTGCATCTAGAAAGAACGGATATTTGCAGAGATCAACACATACATGGTATTTTTGAACAGCAATATACAGTAATAAAATTCCTTAAAGTTTTACAATTTGTATTTCTGCCTTCTAAACAGTATCAAGGTCTGGTAAAAAGGATATTGCAGTTTATTAAAAAACTCAAATAAATCCTTCACCATTTAAAGGGAAGGATGGGTACCCTCGTATTCTTCAGCACTGGAAAGCAATATGGAGACAGCAAACACTGGCCTAAAAATCAAGTGACAGCTCTGGGACATACGAGGGGGTATAATTTATAGTCAGACAAAAGGTGTTTACTGCTAACGTTAATCAGAAAGTAGTCTAAGTTTCACTTTTCTGCAAGACATCAGATAACTGTACCAGTGTCAACACAGGGTTTGTTTGACTATGCAGAAGTGAAATACGACTATGTACAATAATTCTTTTATCCATGGTGGATGAAGCTGGAGACCAAGTCAACAGATGCTAATGAACTCCCCCCCTTCTACCAGCTCATCTAAAGCATTTCTTAATAGTACTCAAAGTGGCAGGACTAGTTCTTTAATACATTCATCAGAAGAAACGGTGTGCAGTTGGAACACTTTAACAAAAGATGGATCATGAGGTGAGTCTGCAAGAAGTCTGTTTCTATGAAATGCAGACAAAGACAAAAAAAAGCGCACAAGGCTGGACTGCAGCTCATGGATAACCCTTTTACAATAAACAGGAAGATTTTGATGGAATTGGGCGGGGGAGGGGGGAAGGTGAGGTATGCAGCTAAGTCAAATCCAGCCACCTCTATATAGTAAAACATTTGGTGTACAACATTTAGCAGAGAATCTAATAGAACTAGAGACACCAGCAAACCTGGGGAAAATCTAGCAGCTGAAATCAAAGACTGCTACAGCAGTCTGGCAGAATGCACATAGAAGAGAACAAAGATACATTTTTAAACCCCTCAGAGAATTTGGATGAAGCCAAGTAAGACTAGTTTTTAGACAAGGTGAAAAGAAACCAAAAAGTTAAATGAAATCAAGGGCAGGTTAAAGAGAACTGCACTGAAATCATCAAGACAACCTCCATGGACAATCAATCAACAACACAAATAAGTGACAGGACGCAAAAAGGCCACTGCAAAGGTAACACTGACAAGCTTGTAGAGTCTGCCCAGGTGCCAGATGCTGAGCATATCTGGCAACTAAGCATGTCCGTATCCTCAGAGGAAACAACTGCATGTAACAGATAGAGGGCAAGTCAGCTACAAATCTCAATTCTATCACACGTTACAGATATTTGTTTCCAAAGAAAATGAATTTAAAAAAATAAATCCCCAAAACAAGCTATCATTTCCTTTTTTCTGCATTTCAGTATATTACCAGAAACTTTTCATCCACAATAAGAACAAAGAAGGGAACACCAATCTCAGGAATAAAACAGGGAAACAAATTATATCACCATGAAGAAGTCCAAAGTGAAAACACTACATTTTCACCATAACACACACTGAATATCTTGCTCAAATCCATTCACTTTTCAGGGCACTACATTTCTGCCTTAGTTTAGAATATAAGGAACAGAGGAAATGCACACACTAGAAAGCCTACTGGCAGTTCCACATGCAGCAACTTTGATGTGTGAGAGACTGCTCACACCAAAGAGAAATCAATGGAGGCAACTTCAGTCCTCCTTCCTCCTCAGAGAAAAGTTCTGCTGAATTTGAGTACTTTTAAGACCACTGGAGTGGTCAGTGCTGGAGAATCTCCTATTATCATTATGGACTTTCTGTTTATTTCTAGAGAAGCATGTAAGGACTGCTGAGGTTATTTCAGGTATCATTTTAAATAGCCAGGTGGAGTGATTCTGCACCGCAGTACCTGCTGCAAGGAATCCCTGGAAAGAAGCGTTGAAGTATACAGCAAAATTAAAGCTTACAGGGAGAGAGACATAGTTCACACCTTTACTACATCAGACAGTTTGCAAACTCAGGAAGACTCAATATTGTATTCAATTACCTTGGTTATGTGAATTCTTAGGCACGGGAGCTGAGAAAATTTTTCTAAACTACAAAAAAGCTAACATTGCATAGAAAGAGCTGCAAATATTGCAGTGGGACATTTACAGTACTTGCTAATACCAAGTACACACCTCAGATTGTAGTATCTGTGATGCATTAAAAATGTTTGCATTTAATTTGACTTTAAAACAAAGTAGAAGCAGTAGCAACAGCTCACAATTCATAGTTATATAATTTAAATGACTCAAGCAAGCAGTGACATTCATGGAGATTAACAAGATGACTGCATAAATAATAATGTTGCAAAAAATTAAAGAGTTTATTTCAAATTAAGAACTAGAATTTACAGAGAAAAAAAATAATCAGAAAAATCTGCTAAAAACAGGGGTTCCACAAATACTATTACTTATAAGCCATAGTTTTCTCACATTTAGATCCTGGAATAATTTCATTTCCAGAAAGATCTTACAGATACCAAATGTTTCATAGTCCTAAAAACCCAATTCTACCATGCAAGTTGTTGCAAACAGCTCAACTGGTTCCTGAGATGCCAAAGAGAAAAATCAGTATTCTCTCTCATGCAAAAGCCCCGCTAACACTACAGAACTTTACTAAACAGCAGTGGTAGAATTCACACCCATGGCATCTATCATGGATGTCATGCCACACACTTTGTCCAAATGCCAGACCTCTGTATTATTTAATTTCCCACTTCTAGCAGAGACGTACTATACAAATTTCACGTAGCTCCTTCATTCTGACCCAAAACCTCCTATCTATGCATTCTGGAGAGGATCCTCATTAGGAAAGTAAGAGGACATGCAGAGGACCTTCAGAGAAAATAAGAAATCTTATTTCTTTGTCACAATATTACTGCTAATTCACTGCAGAAGAATTAACTATCAAAAAAACTGCTGATACACTTTAGGCTATGAAAGGATGAATGGTCTCACAAAAAGAATATTCCACTAGGATGAAAAATTTTGTTTAGGCTATTACTCAAGACCTCCTCACCACTGCTGGAATTAAAACACTAATTTGATTGACATGCAGCTGTATTATATTCCTGTAATTTTCACACAATACTCATTATACACTTTCTATGGTCTTGAAACTTAAAATAGTGAACTAATGAACATTCATAAGGACTTTCACTAAGTACAAAAGACAGTTTAATCCCTGCAGAAACAATTACCTTTAGGTTTTTCTAACACTCTCTGGCAAGTCTCTTTAATTTTGGTGAAGAGCTCTGGTCCTGCCAATCGCTTGGAAATGCCAACTCTCAACATAACGGCACCTGGTGTGAATTTTAAAAGCGCAGCCCCAGGCTCCCGTGGTTCTTTTGGTTGCTTTGGCATAAGACTGGACCAATCTACATCTATAACATCCACAGGATCTGCAAAAACATTGACAGAGAATGAGTTATCACATCATTACCCCTTACCACAGTTGATGAATTTCACATGCTGCGTATATCCCTCTCCTAAAAGCAATATACATTAGAAGAACATTGTTCTGCAGTTCTCAAGATCTTCAAACACTTCAGGTAAGAACATCAAAACTGGCGGAAAAAAGGACCACACAAATATAAAGCTTCTTGTATTAAAAAAACCCCACCCCTAATACTCTCCTTCATTTTTACTGCCACCCCTTTGTGGAAGGCTGCTTGGACCCTGCTTAGCCAGCAGATTAGGAGACATCACTTACGCTTTCACAAATGTCACAGTACAACTAAACGTGCTATGACAGATCCAAATTAAATGCTTAAAAAGCTAGTATTTCAACTCTGGATGCTGGATTTTTTTTTCTTTCCAAATGAGATATACTATTTATTGAATAACCATACCACTGTGTTTATCTAGTACGTTTATCATAGAAAATATGAACAGTGACCATGTAGCCCAGATGACTCAACTGAACTTACAAGTAGAAGATCGAATGCTTCCCAGTGCCTCTGGGAAGCACTTAAGCACAGATAAAATCTGTTCATAAAATATCAGTTCCAAATAATGATCAAAACCAAATGGGATAAAGGAAAACAAGTTTATAAAAACAAAAAGCTTACCCTTCTAGCTATATAAAATGAGAGAAATATTACTTCACAATACAGCTCCTGGTACTCTCTACTTACCTCTCTACTTCTCAGGCTTACCAGACTTTTATAGAACAAACAAGAAATACTGAAAAGCATACAAACTGCATTCCTAATTCAGAAATACTGTCAACATCACAATAACATTATATACAAACTGATCTAATCTTTATATTCAAATAATCATAAAGGGGTTTTGCTATACTTTTACCAGGCATCTTCTCATCCTCTTGTTGATCCTCCCGCTTTTCAGCATCACCTGCCAGAATTTCATCCAGTTCATCATCACTGATTGGTTCGTATTCTCCAGCTCCAGACCCCAGTGACTGTACATCATCAATCTTTGCTTCATCTTCTCCTCCTACAGAGACAGATACGTATTGTAGCCTTAAAGCAATCATTCTTGTTTTCTAAACATGCCTTAAGCAGCCTGAAAACAAAGAGGTTCAGCAAATTAAACTCTTAGGTTTTTGGGGACAAGTATATTCAACATGAAAACATGAAAACTCCTGGAAACAGCAGTTATTTCTCCCATACACAATGCGGCAGTTTGAATTTCACATATCTTGATTTTTTTTTGGGTGCAGTATTAGTCAAACTGCACATAGAAGGCCATATTCAGAAGAAACATACGTTGATTATCTGGTATCTGATATGTAGTTAATAATACAAATCTAAGCACCACAAAGTCTTTCAGATGCTTTTGCACATGAATGCAAATTCAAGATTCAGTCCAAAGGCTCTACAAGAGAAAGAAGTAATAGAACTCCAAAATACAAGAAGGTGCAAGAGATCCTGAATGAAGCAATTATTCACAGTTTTAGACTCTTTGTAGAAGTCACAAGAAGAGCTTTTAGAAAGCCATGACAAACTTCTTCAGTTACTGTTACACTCCTGTCCATCCATATACTATATGCATATACAAATACCTGTGCTGTATGTGTAAACATGTTCGTTAAAACCTGTAAACGCAAGACACTCAAATGTTGCATTTTGCAGTTCATGAAAGGAATGTCTGAAGGTATTCTCTCACCTCCAAGAGGGAAAGATCTGATTCAAGCATTCAGAAACCCTGTTGCTCTGAGGCTTTCTTAGGGTTCTCCACCATGGTACTTGCAATGAGTCGCGTCATACAAACTAGACAGAATTTACAAGGGTCCTCCCCTGTGGATGACACTTCTAGTATCTCCCTTATCCAGAAGGGAAACTGCCGTTGTTTTAAGTTGCCCTAATTTTAATATTTTTTTTTTGCTGCTTTTGCAAAAGCCATAAAGGGGGAAGAAAAAAAAAAAATCACCTCCACTAACCTAAAAATCAGCATGGGAAAAGCAAGTAAAAGACATGCTATCAGAGCTTAAATTAACTACTCAGACAACCTGGCAGTGCTTTGGAGGAATCATATAGCATTATATAAGCCCACTCCTAGAGCAAACACATTAAGGTTCAAGACATTACAATACTTTAGTAATTATATCCTCATACATTTTGTTAGACAATACACTACAGTACTTTGTCCAAGTAAATACCAAGTTACCTCCTTAACATCATCAGATTTGGAAGTGTATTTAGTTTTCTAAAATGTTTTTCCTTTTTAAAAGGAAAATAAGGCCATCTGTACTAAATTTCATTTTGTGTCTTATGATTTTAAATATTCACTGCTTGTACGATCCATCATCTGCCTCCAACGCTGATCTACCAGATACACTAGCTCACCATGACTATGTGCTTGGACAGCACAGATGAACAAGAAATTACTGTATGAAGCAATTAAAAATAATAATTCATAGTTCTCAATACATGACTAAAAAAGATTACTTCCTCAATTTTAAATTTCAAATCCAAGTTTGATAATTTCTAGATAATAATCCTATCACTACCTTTACTGCTTTTTTGCAGAAATGTACTTTCATATTAATTCTGCATTAATAATGTGACACACTGATCAGCTAAAAGGAACAATGTAAACAGGAGTAATAAAGTAATGAAAGACAATAAAGTACACTAAACCTTAGAAAATCACAAACATGCCATATAGCATGCTTTAATAAAATGGAATGCCATCTAATATTTTACAAAGTACATTTGTCTAAAAAAAATAATCCTAATTTAATATAACTTCCTACAGATGACAATTTTCAGAGAATTTAGAACACAAAAAATACACAAAATAATATACATTAAGACACTTACAAGAAGTCTGGTAAAAGGCTAGACCTAAGAACACATTTAACATCGAGAACCAGTTCAGCCACAGGTGCCTTCTCTGAAACATATAACATACCCAGGAGTAGCCTGTTTTCTCAGGTTACCACATTGTACTCTGATTTCCTGCACCATTCCCTCCTCTAGCTTAAAAATCGCTGAATTCTGTCCATTGCAGAAAGACAGAGCAGACTTCCCCATGCCCACTCCAAATACTGTCTTGGACAAGTGCTTCCACTCCAAAGATAATCTCCTTAAATGGAATTTTCTCAATTGTACCAGTCAACTCTAATGACCACTTTGCGAGTAATCAAGTAGGTGATATAATAAATAATAAATAGTTCTCATCATCCTCTCCAGACAACATTTGAATTAACTGCTCAAATTAACAATGAACAGCTACCGATAATTCTTATTAAGCATGCAAATATGATGAGACAACGTCCTGTTATCTTGTGTAAAACTACAAAAGCTTAATTCATTTGCTTCTCTTTCTGTTTCTGAAGACTATGGACTTCAGGCCTTACCATTCCAATCATCCAAAAATTCCAAATTCTGCAATGCCTTTTCTTCCTCTCAACAGATTTTAGAGAAGACAAGTACTGCAGTCACCAAAAAACCCCAAAACAACTTTGAAATGACTGTAACGTAGACCACTTACTCTGGATTTAGACTCTTGTTTCTTTTATGTTGTTGATACAGGTTAAAAGTATTTCCCAAACTCCCTATCCATCCAAACCTCAAGCTGTCTAATCCATGTGACAAAATATTCATTAATCCTAAGCATGTTTTCCCCAGTACCATTTAGGGCCAGTAAACTGAAGGCACATTTAATAAGATTACCTCAGGAAAGCTAATTTTTTGACTGCTGTACCAAGCCATACATATGTTTCACCTACTAATCAGACAATCATTTCTATGATAACTGGACTCTGCAGAAAAAACAAAAAACCAAAACCAAACCAAAGAATAGTTCCAAGTCAACATTCATTTTTTTTCCACTCATTTCCCGTCACTAAAAATAGATCTTATAATAATATAACAAAGCAATCAAACATTGGTGTGATTCTTTAGTAAACTGCCTATTCAGAAATGTTACAACTAGGTGAAATTATACCTCAGATCATTTATGTTTCTTTGCCTCAAGACTTCTTTAGAAATTAACAAGTAACACTAACACAATTAATAGTAAGAAGATGCTCATCAGAATTCTCCCTTCTCATGTATGCTTCCACAATAGAGAAGCTGGAGCCAATACGCCTTTCAGGAGAAAATTATTCTAATATAGCTCAGTTCAGCACTATGCTAAAAGGGAAAGAATAAAATATTTGACAGTTAGATTCTTTCACAGAATATCTCACCTTCTAAACTCTCTACCTTTTCGGCCTCATTTCCATCTTCAAAACTTTGCAAAGGTCCTAAATCTTTGTCTGTTCTTTCCTTCTCTGAAGCTGCTGAATCCCGACAAACACCATCAAATTCCTTTTCGTGATCTCTGTCCAGTTTCATTTCACTGTGTTTTGTTGATTCTTTTTGAGAGGAGATGTCAAGAGTTCTGTCTCTCTCTCTTTCAGCAGTATCGGGTAGTTGTCTGTCTCTCTCTCTTTCCAGCTCCCGTCTTTTCTCCCTCTCCCTCTCTCGTTCTCTGAGCCTCTCTCGTTCCCTACTCCTCGGCCAGTCTTTGTCAACATCTCGGTCCCAGTCTCTCTGTCTTCCCTCTCTCCTCTCTCTCTCTCGTTCTCGATCATGTTCATGTCGATCTCGCTCCTGAAGCCTCTCCCTGCTATCAAAGGACCCAGATCTGGAATGGACCTGACGATCTGATTCAGGAGAACTTCTTCTTGAACTGTGGCTTCTTGAATCTTGACGATCTGAATAAAATATTTTAAATATATGCATGACTACAGCAGATAAATGTAATACCATTTTACTAGATCAAAACATATTAAAGATTCAGGTATGAAAACGTACTTCTCAAAAGCATCATCTTCAAATTCATAATGCCTTCAGATTGCCTATAGATTTAACCTTACTTAAAAAAGTAAAGTATTTCTCCCACTCCCCAAAAAAACATTTTTAGTGGCTACTTCCTACTATGACAGAAGTCAAACTGAAGGTACATAATTTTAACTCAGAAATTTAGGCAAGGGATAAATAAATAAATAATTAAACAGAGTAATCTCAGAATTAAAAATGCTCAAAACATGTCTTCTAAAAGCTAGGAATGCCCTGGCTATCAAGTGATAAATTCAGAAAAATAATTTCAGGGATGTAACCATGAGGACAACAGAGAGCCAAAGTGCTTTAGGAGGAAGATATTTTCCTACTGATGCTGTTTAAATTTTAAAACATTTTATCCTTTTTTTTTTTTTACAGGATTTACACAAATAAAACAAGTCAATTGTGATCATTTTGATTTGCAACAAAGATGATTTCCATATGCATTAAAAGTATGCCTAACAGGAACCACGACAGATTTAGCTCAGTGAAAACAGGTCCTGAGACGATAATGGATGTCTCTCTCCCAGAGAGAAGAGGCATATTCATTTTGCATAGATTTCAGAATTTCCATATAAAACTGAATGTTAATAATGAATTTAAGAACGTTATTTAGATGATAAAACTACCTCAATGTTCTGTTAGTACAAGCATTTTCTCTTTCTATGCGGTTTTTTTGTCCTACAAATTACTTTATTCCCCAGACAGCATGAACTGAATCTGACTGAATGTTTTGGTGTAAACAAAGTGGTAATTCTGCCCGCTGAAGATCAGCTTTTCAAATACAGTAACATTTGCAGGAATCTTAATTCACTCTAGTTTTTCTATGAATAGCAGAGAGCACCTCCCTCTCCCTCCACACAAATTACAAAGGCAAAGAGTACATACAGCCATGCAAGAATGATTTGGGATTCATATGTTTGCGCTTTTATACAGAACGATAGGTCAGTCTCACTAAAACATATCTCATTACCTGAAGATGTGCTGCGACTGGGTTCCCCTCGTTTCAACTGATCAATTCTGGACTTTCGTTCCCCAGTGATTTCTAAGCTTTTCTTCTCCCTGTCCCTGTCCCTATCCCTGTCTCTAGAGCTACTGTGCAGGATCCTCTTCCGTCCAGTTTGGTCATCTCCACTGCGATGAGCTGACTCATTGGAAGGAGATCTAAGTCTGCTTGACGCATGGCTCCGATTGCTACCAAGGCTGCTGCTGCGCTTCTGATCCAAAGGTTTACGGTGTGGTCCGTCGTCAATAGTAACATGGGGGGCTTCCACCTTTTCACCCCTCGTCCTGTGACTTTTTCTACGGGAGTCCTCAGTGCTTCTTTCTGGAACAACAATATCACCCCGTTCAGGAACATCTTCATCTGACCAGTCACTAAATGTTGTATCTTCTCTTTTTTGGGGGACTTCTGACACAGCTTTCTCAGGTGGTGCTTCAACCAATTCTTCTTTTGTTACAGGGGGGGTTCTTGGGCCTTTCTTCTTTTTATGATGTGGAACAATTTCTTCGTCAGAAACTTCAGAATCACCCTTCGACCTCTTCCTCTTTTTCTCTACATTTTTCTTTTTTTGACCTTTCTTGGGTGAAAAGACCTGGCTTTCCTCAGTCGTTGATTCATTAGCGTACCTTTCCACCCCACTGTCATCATCCTTCTTCTTCTTTGTGGCCTTCTTCTGTACCTTAGACTTCTTCTTGCTGTCATCATGCATTCTATCAGAAGCATCTCTTTCTTCAGAGGGACGGTGTCCAAGATTTTCCTGAACCCTGGACCGGGAGCCCTCTGAAGCATCTGGTTGCTCTCGCTGCTTATCTGCTGAAGAAACCCTCTCTTTAAACTCTGGTTCTTCGTAACGCCGGGAACTTTCCTTTCTGTCTGATTTTCGCTCCTCTTCTTTCCAGCGACTCTGCCGCTCCTCTGTAACGTGAGAGGGGCTCAGTGACCGAGATTCCTGCGGCCGCACAACCTGACTCAGAAGTCTGTGCTTTTCATCTACAAAATGGGAAAAAAGATGTATTGTTTAGGAAGGAGAACAGGTGAACATTTGGTATCTTGTGCATGCCAAAAACTGTCAATCAAAACAAATAATCCATTATTTCAGTTACATTTAGTTTTTCTACTGCTGCAGCAGCAATAGACTATTTCCATTTTGGTAAACATGTATCTTAAACAACAGATGTGGAAGTCACTATCACCCACCAGACGTAACACAGTGACACAATAAAGACAAAAAGACAAACATATAGCTTGCTCATAAAAATAAGGGGAGAAGGACACTTCTAAAAGCTTGCCCCATGTTCTATTTAAGATTGTAAATTATTTTCCATAGGCAGAGGGTAAGCTGGATCTTGCTGCAGAGATAGTCAACTCCTACTTACTTTTATCATCTCCACTGTTGTAAGCATCACTATCAGGAGAGTGCTCACGGCGACGTTTGGGCGACTGACGAGGACTTGGGCTGCTTTCATTTCTGTGACGCTTCCTGCAGAAGAAACACGTACAGTTAAGTTTCTTCATCATTCTTTAAAGAAACATTGAATAACTGAGTTTATCATCAATACAATCCTTGAAGTCTAAGCACCTCAGAGAAGGCAACACATCTAAGAATGCCAGGAAGTTTTGTAGTTTTCCAAGTTGTTATTCCAAAACTTCAAGTATGATCAGCTTTCTGATCATGCTGTTAAGATACCTTAAACTAAAACTCTAACACTTAAGACAACTTTCTTTTTAGCAAAAAGTTATGAAAGACTATTAAGATGAATTTTTTTCTGAGGCAATGATCCTTGCAGTGGGTTGATCCCAGCTGGCAGCTAAGCCCCCACCTAGACGCTTGCTCACTTCTTCCCCAGTGGGATGGGGGAGACCCTATACTAGATGATCTACAGGAATCCACAATTGTCTCTCACACAAAAGCTACTAATTACTTCCAAGAAAAGCAGCTATTCAGGGCAACAGTGTTTTGCTTATTATTGATGGAATGATGAGAATTTTATTGTGCTGAATGAAAAAAAGAAAAAGAATCAGCACCACACACTCAGGATCTGTTCATGCCTTCACTGGTAGTCTTCCAGTATTGAAAATTTAGTAGTGCAAAAGGTAATGTATGTTCCACAGAAATTTAATGAACATAAACCTTGACCTAGTTAGCTGCTGTCTGAATTGCCATGCTTCAACAGGTACCACAGTCTGCTATTATGCTTCCAAGAATGCCTGTATTATTAAAGGCAAGGCCATGCAAGTATACTCCAAAGGGAAAATTAAATGGTCTGACTCAATTGTTAGTTCTTGAGTAGTTCCACAATTCTGCACTAACAAAGCATCAGATTAACTTCACTAGCATAATACTGATTTTGGGGCTACCAATATGTGCCACACAGATGCAGGGAAGACATGGCTTGAGACTGAGCCTCTGCACAAAACAGGATATCTTCTTCCTTATGATACTCCCCTGCTTACTAACTTACTGAAATCAACAGTTAAAAGACTGCCTTTTTTCCCCCCCTTTTTTTTTTAACTGAAGTAACATTCAGATCAACTCACTTGGATTTTCTTTCCTCATGGACATCTCTTGAACTTCTTTCTTCTCGGATATCTTCTCTCTTATCTCTGCGGTCTTCCCTTCCTTTATCTTTGTCATCCCAGTCTCTCTGGCGCTCTCTTTCTTTATCCCTGTCCCGACCTCTCTCCCTTTCTCGTTCCCGCTCTCGATCTCTTTCACGCTCTCGCTCCCTTTCTCGCTCCTCCCGCTCTCGCTCTCGCTCCTTCTCCCTCTCCCTCTCTCGTTCCCTCTCCCTGTCATGGTCTCTGTCTCGGTCACGTTCACGGTCCCTGTCTTTGTCCCGTTCTCTCTCCCTCTCCCGTTCCCGAGCACGATCTCGTTCCAACTCTCTTTCCTTCTCCCTTTCTCTTTCCCGGTCTCTTTCTCTTACCTTTCTCGCTCTCTCTCCCGGGCCCTTTCATCTCTCCTATCATCAGACCGATCTACCCTTCGCTCTTCTCTTCTTTCATCCCGCTCGAGGTCATCGCTTCGTCCTTGATGTCGTACCGGTGAGCTTGCTCTCTGATCTGTGAAGAGAAGCAAGTTTGATTACCAAGTGCTAAAGGGACATACACCATTTCCACTACACTGCTAAAAACCCAAGAGCTTTTGTTTTGATGATCTAGATATTGGTTTGCATTAAATGAAAAGCAGCTCCCTGCAGAAACTTGGAAATTCTCTTTGGGGAAGGAAAAAGACAAAAAAAGCAGTACTAATTTTGAAATATTTTTTTTCAATATTTAGGGAGTGGGCTTTCCTTATTTTAGCCAAAATTTACTACAAAAAAATTTATTTTCTACCAGATTTTTCTGAATGGCTTCAAAAGATAATTATAAGCCTCACTGCCTAGTTATTACTATTGCATTACTCAACGATTCAAAATCTGGTATAAGGTCTTGATAAGCTCTGACTGATGTACATATGAAAATGAAATGTCAACACTTCTGTACAAAAATTTTGCTTCCTAAAACTGTTAAGAGTCATGGGCTTTACAAGAACTCACACTATTTATAATACATAGTAAAAGTTACTGCAAAATAAGAAATACTAGCCTGTCTCATCACAGAAGAAGAGATCCCTGCACAGAAATACACAACGAAATCCATGAGAAAGGGAGAGACAAGAATGCAATACAGGAAGCAGAACTGCTAGAAGTTTCCATATGTATTCGCTGCAGAGCCTTAACAGTTTTAGAAGGGGAGTTTTTCAAAGTTCAGACAGTGGATTAGAGTCATGGAGAAAAGCAAATTTATATAGAAAATGTCCGATCCAGAAGGGCAGCAAAAACTGATTTACGTAATGATATTTACTCTCCACAGACTTAGCTGCATTTTGCTAGTCATATTTTGAATATATTTTTTGATATTTCTATAAATTTTGACCACTTTATAACAATTTTTATGCTGATGTTAGTAGTATTTGAATCACAACAAATCAATAAAACTATTTTTCCACAATATACATTAAAAGCACTATACAAAAGAGCAAAAAATGACATGAACAGAGGTTGGTATTTTTCAGTCCATTACTCTGAGGCTGAGTGCATTTCCCTGTAAATTGAGACAATGTCAAACAGCGGCAAGTAGGCAGAGTTTGAACAGGACTAAATCAATAAAATATGCATTTCCATCAGTTTAATCAATTTTAATCTCTGAGTAAATTAACAATAACTTAATGCTCCCCTGTTACCAGGTAAAACGAAAAGCAAACTTGAGTGACATTTCTGCCATGGATGTAACACTTTTTTATAAGGCAAATCAGTCCATGCAATTGGTTCCATAAACAGGTTCCACATTCTTTTAACGGTGCCTGTAACATTATAATGCAATTTATCGCACATAGTAAGTATTAGATTTTATACAGAAGTTCTGTAACTCCTGTTTGTTATGTCAGTTTTGGTGACAAAACATCTACATGAAACTCTGACATGAATCAAGGTACTGGAAGCGCATTGGACAATTAAACGTGGATAGTCAGCACTTACATGATTTCATTATTTGAAGTGCTGTTCCAGTGGTTGTTTGGAACACCTACAGATTTGTTTTACTTGAACAAAGCCCTAATATGCAAGCTAACATTTTAAAATCATACTAAAAAGATTCCTTACATATCATAGAACTAAGTACCAACCAATATCTATCTCCTGAACAGCAAATGCTAAAACTGTGGTCTAATTATGGAAACTATGTCTTGAATTGTAACTCTGCAGAGGATTTACTATTAAAAAAAACAATCTAAGTTTTTAAGGAAGAAAACAACAAGTCTTATCTCCGTTCAAGCTCTTTATATTTTCCTCTCAAAGGGAAACACAATCCATTTAAAGTAACTTCCCTTCTAGAAATGTATTTTGTTGTGATGACATATTTTTACTTCTAAGGTTTTTTGGGGGTTTTTTTTAAATGTTTTTCTTTATAAATTAAGAACTCTGTATGATATGAAAAGCATAAATTACATTATAATATATCTGGGATTTATTAAGGGTGGGGAGGTGGAAGAGATGAAAGCTAGACTGCAAAAGCCAACCCCCCAGGACACATTCAGACTGCAGGATTTTTCAGTTGACAAGAAAAAGGAAGCCTGGAGATTAGGTTTGTTGAAATCCTGCCTTGAAGATGAGACAGAATCTAAAGCAGAACCTGTCACAAGAACAAGTAATAATAGATACAATGGACCAAAAAGCACCTCATGAAGTAATATACAAAACATCTCTTTGAAAAACTGAAGTTAAACAACAGCTAGAACGTATCTGTCACTTCCAAATCAGAACTCAAGATAGAAAAAGACAAACCAAAACCATCAGTCAGACTGTACTTTTATATTTATTTTTCACAGCTCCTCCTTTCATTTCCATGCTATTTTAATTTGCCTGAGTCCTCCTCTTCTCTTAATTGGTGAGCAATACATGTATTTTCCAGAGTGAAAGTTGGTACCAAGTTCCTTAGAGACAACATAGTACTCTTTCAGATGCAGAAGCATGACATCTTGAATACTATGTCCAAAAGAACAGCCTTGCGTACTCTTTCCACGATCACCAGTATCTGTACCAGCACTTACTAGACAATTATTATTGACCACAGCAAAGCATTCATCAACATTAAATTCCCCAGGCAATAAATTTTTTAATACATCCTAAATGTAAACTGTCACTTACTTTAGTTGTAAGTAGTCTATAATTAAGTCAGTCTAGCAGACAGACCTTCCCCAAAACACACTCAAGTAATTTAATGTGCCAAAGTACAACGTTTCTATACAAACAGAACCAGTAATAAAATGCAGTCATGAATCTAAGCTTATGCGCATATCTGTACATGAAGTGGAGGAGGCAGCAAAAGAGGAGGAAAAATCATTTTACATTGAAGTTGTACAATGAAATCTCTGGAAGAAATTTAGTTTGCTTTAAGACTACTTGGATGAATAAAACTAGAAGGTGCCAAAATCTAGCCATAGGAAGAGAGAAAGGCCATAGCATTCATACCAATGAGAGATCTTACTACAGAAGTTAACTTACATCAAAGATAGGACTAGTGTCACTGTGCAGTGTTAAATGAGTTATTTATGAATTAGTGGTGTGGGGGCAGAACAAGGAAGAAAAAAGAGGGAGAGAGAAACACATACATTCATACATATACATTTGACTACATATGTATCTGTAAAAATATACATTAAAATACCTCTTTCTCTGTTGTCACGCCTGTCCCGTTCACCATGTCTTCTTTCAAAGGAGGAATCCCTTGCTTGTTCTCGACTATCATAGCGATCCCGATCAGGGTAGCTACTCCTTGATTCCCAGCTGTCATGGTAGTTTCCACTACTGCTGTGACCATCAACCTGGGATCCCCTAGTCCCCCGACTTCCTAATAGAGATGTATCAATATAAATGATGAGTTTCCATACGTAAGGAAATTCACAGATATTTTATAGCAACTAAAGAAATAACTTTTAAAAAACTTGAATTAACTGTTCACAGAAATAGAAATTGTAGCATCAAACTCTACTTAACCAACAACTCAAATTTCACATGTTTTAACTGTAAAGTTATTATTTTCAAACTACAAACTCAAGACTTTCTAAATCACCATGTCCTGGTCATAGCATGACTAGAAATATAAACAGTCCAAAAGCCAGTTCACATTTGTTCCAAGCAGGATGTAAGCTTGTAGACAGGAATACAGCAGGAATAAGCAGAGAAAGTAGAGATCATTTTTCTTGTAACAACTGTATGGCATTTCCCTAATGAAAGCATCATAATAAGCCTGAGAAAGTCAAAACGTATTTGGTACAGGTGATTAAAAAGTGATAAGTGAAGCTGTTCTACAGAGTGCATCACTTTCAAAAACACTGCCAAAGGTTAAAATCCCACCTTTTTTTTTTTTTTGTCAATCAGGAAGGGTCGGGGAGAGGTGGGAGTGTGTGAAAGATGGTTTTCAAGTACCTAAGACATGCAGTTGCTTTTGAAAGAACACAAAAATCCTGCTGCCCAGCACTTTGAGACACACTGCCCCCTACGAATCTTCCACTACACATCAGCCTCTCACTTGTGTTAGAAGCCCATGGGAAAACCTAGGGTTACAGAAACATTAAATAGAGTGGTACAAGGGTTAGGGTTTGTTTTAATATGGTATGGCAGAATACCAATGTTATGCCACTTTAATGAATGGAGAACACAGAAGTGCTATAAATTTAAGCAAGTGTTCTAATTTAATAACAATGGAACTGAACATAGCTTTAAAAGCATGAACTATTTGGCAGCATCTCCATATCAAATACCAAGATAATATGAATGTCAATATTCAATCTCGAAAGATAGGGACACTTAGTAATTTTTTAAATCATACAATACCCTTGTCAGATAATTCTGGACCTCTGCCTCGACTTCTGCCAGTTCTATCACTTCGGCTCTCATTTCTGGAGTCACTTCTGGAGTCATTCCTTGTTTCAGCACGAGAGCTCTCCTCTCTGCCATGGGATCTTCCATAGCTGCGCGACTCCTCCTGGTACTGGTCATCCTTTTTATGGGCATCGCGACTCTCTCTGTCTCTGTAGTCATGGGAATCTCGTGTGGAACGTGAGTCTCTCTGATCACGATTATCTTTGGTATCTCTGCTATAATCCCTCGTATCTCTGGAGTCTCGAGTGTCTCTGGATTCCCTTGGCTCCCTCCGATCTCTGTTGTCTCTTGTCTCTCTCCGATCTCTTCCATCACGAGATTCTCTGTCATCTCTATGATCTCTGGAGGTACTCTGCTCCTGGTCATAATCACGATCATCTCTTGTTTCTCTTTCTTTTTCCCTTTTCCCTCTAGTTTCTGTAAAATGTTTAAAAGAATGTTATATAGCTATTAATCAGAGCAAGCAAAAATTTAGAAGACAAATAACATTAAAATAATACAGTCACAATACAGTTCTAACACACACACAGAAAAATCAAAATTAAAATGTAAGTATGAGAAGACCACATTAGGCATCTACCTAAACATTCAGTAAGCTTTAAAGATCTTTTTGTGAATTTGAATCTGTACTTTACAAATATTTATCTGTTCAAAAGATACTAAGTATAATAAAAATAAGTATCAAACCTATTAAAGATCTAGCACACTGCAATAATTTTAAAGTAGGATCATTTCTCCTCATCAGATTCCTTTTCTTTCTCCACACATGTATTTGCAGGAAATTTGTGCTATATTTAGACTACTAGCTTTTAAGACCTCAATGTCCTGCTAAAATTTTTTCTTTTTTTTTTTTAAAGGTAAGTTTACAGCCAGTCTAAAAAAAAAGCTGACATATGCAATCTTTGTAATCTGTCTCGAGACAAACAGCATGTTTGCCCATCACAAATTGCTCAACCAGCTTTATAGATTTCCAGAGGGAATGACTGTTTCTTTGCACACACCTACTTAATGTCAATTAAAAAGACAATAGACAGAGCAATCGGTGAGGACTGGATTAGCATTTGGGCACCTTGCAGAAAAGAGTAATAGTTACTTACAAGTATCCTGCTGTCACTCAGCTGATCCACTAGTATATGCATGATACCAAGAGAAGATCACTTACCTACTGGCCACCACTGCATTACACAAGAAACACCTGACAGCTGCCTACAGGATCTCTACAATCAGCTGAGCCTACATAAGCAGTCCTATCAGGAATACACCATTGCACAGGCCCTGAAAACAGCACCACCAACACAGGAACAATAATATGGATGTCTGCCAGTATTTTTTTCACCCTGTAGCCATTGGGATAGGTGCAGACAATGGCGCAATTTGAAAATCAAGTTTCAAAATGCAATTTGCAAACAAATAAAAATTAATCTTAAGTGTTATTTTTATTCATACCATCCCGCCTCTCGTGGCGCCTATCATGAGACTGTGAAGTTCGATCACGATCGTGCCTTCCCTTTTCTCTTCCAGGAGATCGGTGTCTCGAAGGGCTTCGCTTCCTCTGAGGAGAAGAGGATGAGTGTGGGGGATAGGGAGAAGATGATCGCCTTGCAGGCGGGGAAGCTGTCCTTTGATAGGATGGAGAAGGAGTTCTTTTGCGGTGTGGGGAAGGAGAATGTCTTTGAACAGAGGAGCCTGACTGTGATGAAGAGGAGTGATGTCTGGAGGATATGGGAGAATGATGCTGACCTGATGGGGAAGCAGACCTGTAAGGAAGAGTTAGAACAGACATACATGTAGTAACTTCATTTGAAAGGTTGTTACCGTATTCTACAACAAACAAAAAAAAAGGATTAAAATAATTTGTGCATTCTCTACCCTCTGTCTGATAAAAATTAGTGCTGTTTCTATAAAACATCAAACTAATCTTCCTTTAAGGGTACCAAGGATATCCTTTCAAAGTATATTTATCTTTAAGTGGTTATAGTTTATTTAGTATCCAAGAACAAGTTGTCCAATCAAAATTACATTATATGGCTAACACAATGCTTTCATAGGGGAAGGGAAGGAGTCAGAAAAAAACGTGATCTCCCTAATCTCTAAACCAAGAACAATTGTTTTCTCAATATAAGATGCTTTTTGGAGTTCATGGCAAAATTAGGCAGATAAATTTACACAGTAGGAAATTTTTTTTCTTTTGTTTCCAACAGTATTCACTTTTTTAGAAAGCAACAGTGTCTCCTTTTGCGTTTTTGGCTTCTTTCATTATACGCACTGATCTTTAAACAATTTAGGCCTGGATCCTGAAAATCATATGCCCATCTACCTAAAAGTTTAGTAAACGTGAATCTTTACACAAGCAGGGAAAATTTATATCTAATAGAATAAGAAAAAAGTACACAAAGTGTCTCTCATATTGGAAATCTCATCGCTGAACTAAAGATCATCTACACAACAGTAAACAAATTTCCTCATAATGTTATCTCATGCACAGTGTAACGTGGACAAACACACACTTCAAGTCTTTGAGCTCTGTAGTGTTTTTTTTTCCTCTTACCAGCATCAAAGCAGCTTGCAAGTATCTTTGCTCACGAAACATGCATTGCCCTTAACTCCCAATTCCCTTCCACTTCACAAAATGCCAGAGACTCCAAAGAGAAGAGCAGGAGTCAGAAAAACTACACACAAACAATACATCTTAAAAAATCCCATTTAATTTTAAGTAATTTAGTTCCCACTTTTGAATGTCCATATACAGTGTTGGTGACTTCAAATAAACATCCAGATCATACAGACGAAGCACTCAGTTTCAGGTGACTCACCAATGTGAGACTACTTTATCAAAGGCAGTAGTACCTCACTGCAATCTTCTGCAATAGCCCAGCAGTTGGTAAAGATATATATATATAACACAGCTTTTGCTGAGTATCTTGCAAACACAAGAAATTCTCCTCAGTGAGACAGCTGATGTTAGTTGGGCTCTGAAGAGAACGAGCTCTGGAATAATTCAGGTTAGCAGGCTTACCGCATGTCATTACACTATCTAAGAGCCAAATGGACAGTTGCCCAACCAATGCTACTCAGCAGTGGATCTCCTGGCTAGGGCTTCTTTAAGACCCAGACTCTGGGGGTAAAAAAATATTCTCCTCGTGTCAAGAACACAGAGCAATAATTCAGCTTCAAAGGAGCAAAGTTTTGGGAATGGAATGCTAAGTGAAATCTCTGGCAATCTGAGGCAGGAACTCAAGTCTGCAAGGCATTCCTCTTTGGGTAAAAGACAACATGGTGGAAATCTATTAATACCAGCATTTCATCCTTCCTTCTAGTCAATGTCGGTGACTCAAGAAAACTGCCTTCAGAGCCCCATGGAGCACTATGCTGGTTTTACAGCCAGATTCCATTACAGAACCACATATATTCACTAAAGGAAGCATCTTGACCTGATTGTTGAAGCACTTCAGACTCATCAATTGAGAGAAGTCAAACAAAATTTTTGCCTGACAGGTTGAAACAACACTTGAACTGAGCCATTTCATCTTTACTAGAAAATATACCCAGAAAAGTGGCAGAAAAAAGGGTGAGACAAAAATAAACAAACTCAGCTTTTGGAACGTGCTTAATTAGGACACCCTGAAGAACAGGCTGCATCTGTTTTTTCAATTTAATTCATTCTGTGTCTGTAAGCTTGTACACTCAGATATCGCCAGGCCTGGAGACTATCCCACTGAGATGTGTTTATGATTGTCAGTGCCACAGAATATCTGGACACCTCAACAACAGATTAAGATTCTGTATCTCCTTGTCTGAAAACCTAAAAGTGCATGGGATCCAGATGCTGCACTCCCGATATGGCTTAGGGATGCCTCTAACTACTACACACAGTCTGACCTCCGGGATGCTTACGTGTAGCTTCTTTTGTCTGGAAAATTAAAAAGCCTCAAGGTGCCCTTGTGCATGCTACCAGTAAACATTCCTCATGGATGGCAGAAAAGCAGAAACTCAGTTTCTCTGTCTCCATGGATATATACCCATGCGGGCCGCAGCCTTCCATCACAAGTGGGAAGGTCTGACCAATGACTATTCCTGAGGAAACAAGCAGCCTGCATGCCTCTAACATGACAATTTGTACGCTTTGTCACATACAAATGAAATAGATGGCCTGGAATTAGTAGTAAAATTTCCAAAGCCCTCAAAATTCTGTCAGGGTCAGAAATGACTGACAGAATCCAACGTAATTTCATGACTTGCTATCTTTGAACTAAGACTACATTTACTTTTCACCATAAAACCATCATTATGAAATACAGGATTACCACAATTGGCTTGCATGGAAGACTATCAATGGTTTGGAGACAAACAAAACATTTCAAATATCCTTCTCTGCTTCTAGCAGAAAGCCCATTTATCTTCCCTGCTTAATATTCCCTCGCACAACACTTGATAGGTCTGCACAGAACCCCCAAGCAGGCATTGACGAGCAAAATACTGGCGTAGGTTAGAAAAAAATGGGGAAAAGGGTACTGCAAAGGTATCTTTTAGTCTCCTTACTACTGCCAGCTGCAAGGGGAATAGGCTGCTCTATTCCTCTCCCTATAAACAATCCAATTTAGAGAAAATGTCCATCAGTGACATCTAGTTTAATACAATGCAAAGTTGTTCCAGTTGAACTGAGTCACCACAGCAGCAAAAGAGCTTGCTTGCAACTCTTAGGATTGCTGAATGGATGGGGTTTATTTTGCTTGTTTTATCAGCATGCAGATATATGTAACATCTGGTGTCTTCCCCTCACCCTTCAACAGAAGTGCAGAAAATAAGTATGCCTCCCTCTCCATTATACAAACATAGGACTGCAGTAGTATTTAGCACTGCCGTTTTAAACTTAAGCTTACAGACTCCTTTGGACCAAATGAGAAGCCTCCTCCTTTCTTTTTAATGTGTGGTAAAAGATTTTTTCTCTAAGGCCCCTAGAACTAGCAAGATTATATCTTCCCTAAAGCTCCTGCAAAAAAGGTCCCTGAATACATCCTCGTATTGTACTGTTTAGCCAGTTGTGCTTGCTTTTCAGGAATGATGTATAGAGCCAGGATCTGTGTATCACCTTACTCATTTTAGAACAGGGAAACTCTGCTCTTTCCCAATCTCCAAGATAGAAGACTTGTCACATTTTCTACTTTTTAAAGGGGAAGGTGAGGAAGGAAAAAAAAAAAGTTCCCAAAGGATCACGGACTGACTATGTCTCATATCAGACTTCTGAAGTTCCACTTGAAGCCAAAACCTTTCAGAGGAACTGATAAATGGAAGCCTGCACCATGACTTGTGTATATCAAGACATATGACAGGTACTCTCAATGTAGTAACTTGGCAAGAAAAAAAAGTCTTAGAGCTCAAGTGTTTGAGGCACACACATACCCACAACAGACACAAACAAGTAATCAAACCAATAGAGGAAGTTTCTAAACTAGAACTATTCACGGAAATAAAATCCATGCAATTGACCTCCCACCTGCGAGAGGGTGAGAAGTTATGTTTGTGAGTGGTTGACTTAGCTGGAGCTCGGGAGGTTTGTCTTCGCCTTGCAGCAGGTGGTGAATACTCCCTGGAAGGGGAAGAATTACTGCCAGAATGATCTGCAGGACTAGGGGAACGCTTCTGTCTGTGAGAGCTTTCAGAGGGATCCCTGGGAAACATAAACAGCAGCGTGTTTAACAGGTATAATATGGCATTAGTATGTTTCTAAGAAATTACAAACAACTCCAAGACAGAACCTGGCTTACAAAATCAAGAACTATCTTATAGAATCATTTGTTCCACCTATAATTTCATAAATGAAATTACCTTAAGCTAGCAAATCTCAAGAATAGCAAGAAATTTAGTGCATATTTTGTAATCACTGGACTGTAAAATACAAAACTAGAATATGGTAAAGCCAAAAATATATGCTTGCAATTTTACCTAATATTTCATGTGGTGGTGAAACAGAATTCCTATCAATGGAGAATTATCTTGCTACCCTATTTAAAAATTTCTGTAGTGTCAGAACTTTATTTAAGCCTCAAGCTCACAGACATGTTCAAACACTGATCACAGTTGCAAATGCATGAAAGAGACCTGTCAAAACCTTCAACTATTTCACTTACTGTACATCATGAAGATTTGATATTATTTCTTAATTTTTTATTATTTAGGGAAAAAAAGGACAAAAATCCAACACTGAAATAAAAGGCTGTAGTCACCACAGCAATATCTGATTACAGTAATAAGCCGAGTATTCTCTTGATCCTTTCAACACTACCTAAAATGTTCTTTTCTAGTGCTTACAGCCTCCTTCCAGTAATGGAGTATGCAAACATGAGGGAAATAATACATTTTAAAGTAAGAATGGTGTAATTTATTTAATCAATTAAAAATACACAAATCACTGGTCTTCCACTCCTTAGTCTTTGCTATGCCAGTTACAAAGTAGACACTTACGAATATGTACCTTATTTTCATCAAGGGAATACAGGATTTAAAAATGCAGATGTATTTTACAACTTAAATGGACACCTATGTTTCAGAAAATAATGGGAATAGTCATATTAGTCTAGCATTTGAGATTTGCATATATATATATATATATGCAAAAGTGAAGTAATTCTAAAAATCACAGTAGTCTTTGGCTGTTTCAGAAATACTTTTAACCAACCAAAGATTAGGGATAGTTTAAACATGCCACTGCCAATTTAGAAAGATATTAGTCCTCTAATATTTCAGAAGAGCAGGCAAGCGGACAAGTGAACAATTTTGATAAAGATTTTGGCAAATGAATTGCTCCACTGGTGAAGGTCCAACTTCCTGAAAAGTAATGAATCTTTCAAAAGGGCATTTTACTAACTTACTAAGTTATGTAATTAAAACCTACCGATCTGTTAGTTATAGTCTATCAATCCATCTAAATAATGCACTTAAAATATTTAATGAGTACTGAAAGGGTTGTTGGCAAAACAGGTATAAATCCCTTGTTATTCAGTGCTCTATAAAAGATAACTTTAAAAGCAAGGTTACATATAACTTAAAAGCTAATAATGCAACATAAAACTTACCTCTGCTTCTCTTTTTTCTCCTTGTGCCTTTCAAAGTCACGCCCTCTCTCTTTCACCTCCCTTGCCTTTTCTTCTGAACGTTCTTTTGCTTTATGTTTTTCTTTGTGTTTTTTCCCCAGGGGAGTTTCCTCTTGTACTGGAGGAGGAGGACTAGGGGTACGAGGACCTTTCTTTTTACTCTGGTTACTTTTAGAACTCCTAGAGATAAATTAACAGAGGGGTGGGAAAATGATGGACTGCCAGCTATTTCAAACAATGATTTCTCAGATGTTGGCAAGAAACTTGTAACATAAAGGGCCTTGAAGCTTTTAGGATAGGATTCACCACTCCATTAGCAAGCAGCGTTCCGTAAGTGTACTTGACTGAAGGATGAATGCAGATGGTAGAAATTCACATTGAGCTCTTCCATTTATAATCTTTATTTCTGAACAAGTGAACAAAAATAGGAATTGCTCCCATTCAGACAGAACCACTTTTTAAAGTTAAAATGCCCTTGCATGAACTGCATACAGAGGACCAGAAATCTATAGAATATCTTGTCTGTTTAGATTCCCATTTCTGCAATGCAATACCCCAATCACCTACGCAAAATGACTTGAAGAACTCATGTCTTCGATTTAATGTTAACTACCTGACACAGGATAAAACATCCAAATATTTTTGAATATGCATCTCACAATATGAAATAATAAACTACCACTGACATAAACCCTATAAACTAGATATCACCGCATACTGAATGTCAGTAGCATAACAGCCCATGCTGTAAATTCTCATAGCAGAAACGATATTGTTTTGTCCTTATTTAAAGGGGATTTTTGCTTAGGTGCTGCAGCCAGCAAGAGGTGCTGCAGCCAGCAAGAACTTAGAAACAGGTTTTGGAGATTGACTTTTTGTGGCAAGGCACCCAGTTTTCACATACCTTGTCCTTACTTTTTTCCCTCCCCACAAATCCCTCACTTCTTTTCCCCTCTCGAATTCTGAGAAATTTCTTGCCTTGAAAGTCAAACATTATTTCCTGAACAGTAATATGAAATACCAACAGAACATGCAGTTGGTCAAATTTGAAACATTTCACTTCAGTCTAGAGGAGCTACTCCATAGGCTGCAGCATCTCAAATAAAACTGCTTCCCAGTTTTTATTGGTTTACATTTCCTCATCACCTGCCAGAGACTCTGGACATTCAAAGAGAAAGACCAGCTTGTAAACCATGAAATTAATCAACTAACAACTACATGTATATAACAATTTTCTGCATATGATTATTCACAGTGCACAATTGAGAGACCTTCCCCTAAAGTTATATAATCAAAAGTCCTGAAAGCAAGGAAAATGAAAATCTGTATTAATTATGACAACCCCAGTAATAAAAATCAGCATCATTCTCTGTTCTCACTTTCTCGCAAGATGCATCTACATACTGACCTCTGCTGATCCAAAAGTGGGGAAGATACTGTAGATGCTTTCTTCTCTTTCTTACTAGCCGAAGAAGATGATTTGGGACTGGATCTTCGTTTTGGAGATTTGCTAGACTTTCTTGGTGACGGCGATGGTGACAATTTAGATCTAACCACCTCTGGAGAAATCTTGAAGAAAGGAATATATTAACCAATAAGATATTGATGCTCAAAAGCTTACCTGTATGCTGATATATGGGTCAAATATGTAAATTCAGTAACAGTCTATATCTGAGATCTTAACCATGTACACATCTACCTCAAATAAACTAGCCACATTGTTTTCAAAGAACACCATAAAAAGATGACAGGAAAAGGGTAGGGGAAGAGAGGATGATGCACTCTGTAATACATTATGAAAACTGTAACTAAAAGTTTAAAACCAGTACATTCTCGATTAGCACTCAAGCTTGTCTGAAAAAGACAGACCTTCTTTCAGGCTTTTATTTATTTCTATTTTTTTTTAAATAATCCCCAAAATTTTAGGGTTTTGAACACTTACAGCTTTGCCTCTATCACTCTACTCTGTTATTACAAGACATGTTGGAACAGGAGCTTGGCAAATGCCTTGTGTTTTTTTTCTACATGTCTTCTCTGTTAAAGGTCTTATTAGTTTTATTATTTAATGCATTATAATGCATTAAATCCTACTCATTTAATAGTTGACTTTATAAAGCAGAAAACTTGGTTATGGTGCTGGATGACAGACCACAACAAATATCCAAGTCACATACTAAGTTATACATATGCCAGTTATTTACTACTGTGCAACACAATAGTGCATTTGTAGCCCAGGAAGCTCAAGCCTTCCAGGAAACAATTAGAAGCCTATGAAGTGGCTGATAAATGTGAAATTAAAGAAATAAGTTATGTAATACAAACCTCTTTTTTAATGACTATTTCCTCTCGTTTCTCCATGTTTTCCTGCTCCAACTTCATGAGTTCTCTCTGAATCTTTTGGCGCTTCATTTCCAAAGACAGCTCATGATCATAATCATAATTAACATCTCCATTATCAGAGTCTTTATTTAAAAAAAGGTAAATAGATTAGTAAACAATTACATACAAAATAAATAATAATACGTAGCATACTGGATGCCAAGCATAAATATTTCTGTGACTTTTAAGCACTGCATGAATGGATCAATGAAGCTAAGCCAAATCTCTTCTCCAATTACGTATGTAAACTTGAAGTAACTCCAGATAGTTCTACACAACCTGCAGTTAAATTCTCAAAATTCATTAAAAAAAACACCTTAACTTCTTTCAGAGACCTACATCAATTCTTAAGCTGAGGTAGCAAGGGAAATCCAGTAAAACATTCATTTATATTTAAATAACAAACAAAAATTAAAAGAGTATGTCTTAAGACCAAAAATACATATAGCACTACTTAATTGTGAAATCTCACATGAAATGGATTTAAATAGTGATGCAAGATACTAGAGGATTTTGTTTAATAGAATAACCCAAAAATCAATTGATACACTTAATTACATCTACAAATTGATTTTAAAATAAAAGAAGAGGTCTGTATGACTTCTTTCAATAGATAAATGCACACTTCAAGAGTTTATTTCTGTTTTTAAAACATTATTATTGTTTGGTTCTCACATCAGAAAACATGCTATTTCTCTCACTTTTTCATTAAGTCATGGCTAGTTAATATCATACGCTTCAAGCCTTTCAGTTGAAATCTTACTGAAAATTAAAGCAGTTTTACTCACTCTGTTTAAATTTCTTATTTAGTTTATGGCTATTGAAGTCTAATGCTCAAAAAGCACTTTAGGAAAATAACTGTCAGAGAAAAGATGACTTCATTAAAAAGCTGTTAGCTTCCACTCCCCTTCCTACACACCGGAACTATATAAAACGTTTTGCAATAACTAAACTCGATCTACGAATTCCCTTCATCTGTCATGAATGCATGGGAACAGCTTATAGAGAGATGCAGTTCCTAACAGCATAGGTTCTTTCCCAGTCCATCTGTCTGCTTATATAGCACTCACTAGAACTTAACAAACAGTAATTCTACTTCATCCACATAACTATGACCAACATTTTGAAAAAAATCATAATTCTCAAGCTGAAAGCCTCAGTGTCTAAAACTTAAGACATTCATGCTATATATTTATATAGAACTTGAGGTTTTTATGTTTCAAACTTTTTTGATTTAGTTTCTATTTCCATGCATACATGCCATAGGATCAATGGTTCTTAAATCACACCAAAAACAAAATTTAGAAAGGAGTAAAAATATATTATGACTACTTTTCTATTCATGTATTGTGGTTAAGACACAGCAAAACAATATTTGCAACACTTACAGCACATCCTATAGAAAAGTTACCTACTTAATGAAATTTATAGAGGAGCTCCATCCCACAAACAACTTGTAGTAGTACAACATTCATCGTATCTCAGTTCACTCAGAATGGATCAGGATTCTCATCTTCTCTTGCAATACTGTAACTACATCTGAAACACTGATGCTTACAAAACTACCTAAACACCACAGCTTATTAGAAGCTGCCATAATTTCACTGTCAGGTGAAATTGGTCTCTAACAAAAGCGAAACTCAGGACAGAGAGGAGAAAACAAAGACAGTCTTTTCCTCAACTGTCCACATATTAAATGGATGTGTATTATCAACAAGGACAATGAAATCATCTTTTAACCATTAAAAAAAAGCCAAAACCACCCCCTACCCAAACAAAAATTACTACAGAAGGTAACACAAGACTCTTACCACTCTTCAAGCGTTTTCAGAATATAAACAGTTCACCGATTGCTACCTTCAGCTGCTATACTCATTCTAATGGAGCCCTTGTTAATGACAGTTCACACCATTACGATTATGCCACAAAAACCTGCTGACTTTTGAATTCAAAGGAGTTACACTCTCTCCTCAGACTGACTAGTTTCAAAATTACTTTGGCTGTAACTTGGATTCAGTGACCTAAACCTGAACAGTTCAGCCACAGAGCCAAGTTCCTTGTAGTCTGAGTAGTTAAAAAAGGGAAGAAGGGGGGAAAAAAAAAGCAAGCATGTGTTTTTAAAGTAAGTTGTTTTCACCATTGTAGCAGTCCAACTCAGATTGCTTCTTTGCTCTCCTCCAAAAATAAACATTAATGGCTACGGCATAAAAGTGTTGTTCTTAGAGACCAAGTCTTTAAGTATTTTGCTTTACATAGAACCCAGTAATCTTGCAATTCTTTGAGCTGTAGGGGGACCATTAGTTTAATTTTACTTACCTTCTCTATTTGTTTCCCAATCCCCATTTTCTTCTTCACTTTCTGGTGTTCTCTCCTTTGTAATTTTGATATCCTCCTTTTCTCTATGTCTTCCTCGTGAAGACTCTTTCTATAAAGGGAAAAATGCTGCATTAGAGTAAACAACTTTATTTTAAAAGAAGCCTGAAGAAGCAGGTATATTTTACATGGTATTTCGGCTGTTTCTTTTTTTATAGTACAAAAAGCATCTTCCCCTTTGGCCTGTTGAACAATAACCTTCTTAAATAAGCAGAGACTCCACAGGCAACATGTTCTAATGCAATTTCATATAATCAGTATGCAAATAGCAGATGGGGAAAAGAGAAGAAAGGATTCATGAAATAAGAAGGTTTAAAGGCAGGGCAAGAATCAAGCACGTATCAGAGAATAAAGTGCAAAACAGGAACTGAAAGAACAGATCAGGTTCTTAAGACCAAAAGTTTAATGAACATTTAAAGAGTATAATTTAGCAGCTTGAATAAGAGTTCTCAGCTCTAATTAAGAATATTTACATGCAAGGCAGATGAGCCTCAAAAGCTGAACCATTTAACTCTCTGAAGGATAAAGAATGGGGGGGATAATGAAATAAAAATATAAAAAAACCAGAGCCCTTTGGGTGGCAGAAGGAAAAAAAAGTCTAAAGCAACACACTGGAATCAAGTTTTGATAGCTTTGTATTTCAACTTTCACTGGCCCCATGTTATTAGACAATTCTAACTATTGCAGTAGCACCCACTTTGCATGTGGAAGATGGTCCCGTGGATACCTCAGGAAGCCAGAGACTACTCTTACAGGAAAGAAGATAATTTCAAAAGGCAACTGAACCTATGCTGCTCTTCTTCCCCCACTAAATTCCAGTAGTAAAGCTGCATAGTTGCATCATTGCCTCTGCTGAACTGACATTTTCTAAATAATCTACCTGGGCTCAAGTGGAGTACAGGACAAAGTTTTTTCACTATTTGCAAAAAAAGAACATTCAAGCTTAAAAGTATTTCAGGTTAATTTATTAAGTAGGAAACCAGAAAGAGCAAATAATGAAAGTCTGTCCCATATCCCTTTTGTTCTCACCTCCCATAGTGACTTCTTTTGTCTTTTGGGGATTCTGGGATTCTTCAGTGTTGATATGTAGGAACATTTGGGTTTATGCCAAGAAAAGGAGATGCCTGAGAATTTCACCAGCTATTTTTTACTGGGACTTAGATCTTGACTTAATTTAAATCCTCAACATTACCTTAGAAATACAGTAAGGAAATAATATAACATTGTGGGCAGTTACTCCCAGGTGAGTAAAATTCAACTATTCCTTTTTCTTCACTAACAGTGTTAAAAATCTTATCTCTAGTTTAATGATGTAAACAATGAAAGAACAAGTACTGCATTTATTTTACCTAGTGAACTAAACCAGATGCTTCAATGCACAGTTATCTTCAAGCCTCTCATCTTCATGCATTCAGTATATAAATACGTATTTTAAAGCAATAAAAGGTTTGGAAAAAGCTGACCAGTCGCTATGTAACATGAAGGAACTTCACATTAGAGAACTAACTTGTGTCCCGTTTCATTTAAAGCAGCTTGTAGAATAAGGAAAAAAAGTGTTTTTCTCCATTTCATGACAGAATCTCTAAAATGATGCACAGGATCCTAACCTATCAAGTTATGTTGGTTGCTGATATCAACTGCAGATGAGTCTACATCAACTAAGCCATTATTACAACATGTACTAAAGGCATTTCAGTCTAAGAGTAAGAATTGTACTACCCTCCAAAGCAAGTTACTTTAAAAGAAAATTACTCTGATGAGATCTGAAAATCTGTAACTTTACCAACAAGCCTCTCGTGCAACCATTCTTTATTTTCTTAGAGTATCTCAATTTTTCTAGACTGCCTTCCTTGAAGGCTGCATCTGTTCTACTAAACTGTGTACTTCTGCTATATACTTCAACTAATTCCTACAATATAAACAATAAACATAATTTCTTAAATACAAATACTAGTTCCTATTAATTCAACACTATTTGTTACTAGCAAACAAATATGCGTGTTAGGACATCCTCTATATAATGATCTCAAAAAACTTCTCAAAGCCAATTCCCAAAATAACTTGTCAGCAGAGAACGTGCAGGTAAGTCAGAATGCTTCAAGACCAATTTAATAACCCAAGTTAAAAATACTACACAACTTGTACGTAGCTTGCCTACATCTCCAAACTTACAACCAAACACAAGCATCTTGAAACAGCCTGTATTTTCTCCTTTCAGTGGAGAGATTCAGTAGTGGCACAATCATACTTCTACAGAAGAAGTGAGAACAAAAACATCTATGAAAGGAATTTTATTGAATTACTGAATAGAGGGAAAGGGAATAGACAATTTTTATGCAAGCATGCTATTTTACAAGTTAGGACAACTTGATCCGAGCTCATTCATACACTAAATAACTTCAGTTTAGTTGTCTGGAAAAAAGATTCTAGTAACATTGCATCTTGAAAAAGAAATCTCAGTTTAGAAATTGAGTATATTTTTCTTGGGCACACAAATCCAGAATTTAAGCTATGACTGTTTAGAACACATATTTGAATTTTTTCATCGAAAAGTCTTCAACATATTCGTTTTATTGTACTTGTTCCACTTACAACGCATTTAATTCCCTCGTACTATGTGGAGTCAATATTTCCTTTATATCCTTGGAGACCTTCTTATATTTTACATAGTTTTTTCGTCTCTCCCTTAAAAAGCCAAGAGTAAAATAAGTCAAGCTCCTAAAGGCCAATAGCATGTCTTTCACTTATACTCGAAGATGCCATATCCACTTCAGCCACACTTGTAAGCTATTTCTCTGCAGACTCTGAAAAAATGCCATTACTAGATGAGAAACAATAAACTTTCATAATAATATAATTATTTACTAAAAAA